ACTTGCTCTAGCTTGTGCCTTCTTACTGAGATGCAACTATAGGATAAAAAGTTTTCTTCCACATTATTCCTGAAAAAATGTAATAGAGACTTTTAAACAAATTTCATAAACTATACCAAAACTCTTGTTACAAATTATGGTTATCAGTAAAGTGAAATAATTGTGGAACGGAATATAAGTAAACAATGAAAGAGTTTATGAAAACAAAAGTCTCATAGATAATCAATTTCTTTTTAATAAAGTGAAGACCATCCAGTAGATAAAACTGTTTGGAGTGAGTGTATACCTGCATAAGGCACTGTATTCAATGCAAAGAACAATGAACGGATTGTGATGCATATGCTATATGCCTAAATGACACATATTTAAACTTAATATAAACTGAAAGGTAAAGGTTAAACTTTTGAAAGTTCTAAATGAAATTTAAGCAGAACATGCTTCAAGATTTGTGGTAGAGAAAGACTAAAAAATAATGCCACACACACAAATGACACAATACAGGAAATCTGAGCTAAAGAAGCTAAGCAGACTCAACATTCTTCAAAGGCTTCAGTTTAGTATTATAAAACTCTTTCAATCACGATTCCAATCTTCAACAATATCAAAGCATTAAATTAATCCTGTATAGCTTTCCACTTTTCAAGCATGGCAACAGATTATGAGATAATCTACATTAATCCAGGTTATTCACACTTATCTCATGATGGAGCAGCTAAAGTATAATACCACTATTGCATAAGGAATGGAAATTTATAACCATGAATGTCATCTGTATAAAACTGTGCCTTGTTGGGAGCCGCCACGAGAGCTGACAAAGTCCGCCATCGCTAGGTGGCGCTGTCGCCCGTAATTCTTCCTAGTACCAAGTAAACTGCGCATGTGCCATGGTAAGCCCGCCAAAGCTAAGCCCATCCCACGGCGTTTGGCGCGCTACGAGTAAGCAGCCAATCAGGGGGTGAATACCCCGCTCTGGGGTATATAGGCAGTGCTTTCCCACGCCTTCTCGTCTTCTACCACCATTTTGGTTTATGGGAATAAACGTGTTTCTACGGAAGGATTCTAGTGTGTGTGTGTGTTCGTGTGTGTGTATGGTTTCGCCGGCGAGACTACATGGGCGCGCCCCGCACAGTGCCTGTTTTGTATTCATCCATTTGCAGAAAAAGAGCACACCAGGTTTGTGTTGCTAAGAACTGAGATCCATGAAAAGTAAAAAAATTGTTAGACATTAAAAACTAAGCAACAGCTCAGTGTTGCGTGTGTACCCTTAATCCTAGCACTCTGGGAAGAGTGTCAGATGGATCTCTGTGAGTTTTAGTCCACACTGTTCTACATGGTGAGTTACAGGACAACCAAGGCTATCCTGAGACACTTAACCACTTCCTCTTCAAGAATCATACACACATACACACACAAACACACACACACACACACATACACACTAACAGAATAGAATGTTGAAGCAAGCCAATCTTTTGTAACTTTCCAATAAAGATAGGACCAAGATACTTTTGTTTCTTTGGTAAAAGAATTCACAGTAAAAATATTTGTCTATGACTTAATTTTTGCCTTATACATGTTCTATGAAATGTTTTGTGTTCTTTTATTCTTTTCTCACATTGTCATATGTAATGATTTGAAAAAAGCTGAATGTTTCCTTTAAAAAAAAAATCAGTGTCTCTTTACATAGTTTTCCCTTCTTTAAGAACCAAACTGTAAGCCAGGCGGTGGTGGCGCACGCCTTTAATCCCAGCACTTGGGAGGCAGAGGCAGGCGGATTTCTGAGTTTGAGGCCAGCCTGGTCTACAGAGTGAGTTCCAGGACAGCCAGGGCTATACAGAGAAACTCTTTCTCAAAAAACAAAACAAAACAGAACAAAAAAACAACCAACCAAACAAACAAAAAAAAGAACCAAACTTTAAGGATGGTAGAGAATAAACTTCTGTTTATGAATGTACCAGGCCATGTGGACAATACAATGCCTGCAGCTCATACAAGGTCTTTTAATAGAGAGTCACTTCCATGATGCGGGACATTAGAGTGTGCAAGAAGCTTTGAGGGCTAACAGAATTTTAGTCATAATGTGCAGTTTGATAAACAGAAACTATTAAGGTTTTACCTTTATTATGTGTGGTAACATTTAAAAACAATTAGATTTTTTGTGATTGTGTGTTTGTGTATGTGTGGATGTGGGTGTGGGTGTCCCAGATCTCATGTGGAGGTCTAAAGACATCTTGCTTAAATAAGTTCTACAATGGATTTTGGTGATCAAACCCATATGATCAGGATTGGAGATTCAGGCTATGTTAACTTCTAGTTTACAAAGAAAGACAAGCACATGTTGAAAATATATTCTTGAAGTATGGGCCTTGAATTCCTGATCTTTCCAAGACTTTAAAAATGAATGGGTGTTGAATTCTGTCTAATGCATTTTCAGCATCTAATGTGATGAACATGTGTTTTTTTTTCCTTTAAGTTTGTTTATATAGTGAATTACGTTGATAGATTTCCATATATTGAGCCATCCCTGCATTCCTGAGATGAAGCCTGCTTGATGGTGGTGAATGATCATTTTGATGTGTTCTTGAGTATTTTTGCATCAATATTCATAAGGGAAATTGGTCTGAAGTTCTCTTTCTTTGTGGGGTCTTTGTATGGTTTTGAGATCAGTGTAACTGTGGCTTCATAGAATGAATTAGGTAGCGTTTCTTCTGCTTCTATTTTGTGGAATAGTTTGAAGAGTATTGGTATTAGATCTTCTAACCCAGAATTGCTCCAGTCTAAAGGAAATACAGGGACAAAGAGTTGAACAGAGATTGAAGGAAAGGCCATCCAGAGAGTGCCCCACCTGGGGGTCCATTCCATAAGCAGCCACCAAACCAAGACACTATTGCTGATGCAAAGAAGTGCTTGCTGACAGGAGCCTGATATATCTGTGAAGGCTTGAGGTGGGAGTGGGTGGGTGGGGAGCACCCTCATAGAAGCAGGTTGAGGGGGGATGGGATAGGAGGTTTCCAGGAGAGAAACCAGGAAGTGAGATAACATTTGAAATGTAAATAAATAAAATAACCAATACAAATTTAAAAACAAAAATATATTCTTTTAAATTAAATCTCTGTGGGAGATGGAGAGATTGTGCGTGATTAAGAGTACTCATTACTTTGCAGAGGACTGGAATTAAGCTCCCAGCAATCAAATCATGTCAACCAAATGTCTGTAACTCCCTAAACTTTTAACCTTCTCAGAAACTTCATGCATGGTGTACAAACATACACTCAAGCACACACACGTACACACAAACATGTGTGCACACATGCACACACATACATATAAAATTAAATACATAAATATTTAAGTACTAGAAAGAAAATTAGATTTTCCCCTACCAGATGTCTATTTAATTTCTCTGTCTCTAGACTCCATCAGCACCAGAAGCCTTTTGAATTTTCTCCTGAATAATCCTCTTACTTGTAAACACATGAAAGCATGCTGTCTGTAATTTCACAGCTGCAGAAATTTTCAGAAATAAATTCATAGCTTATAACATAACCCAAAAAATCCAAAATTCAAACAATAAGTTCATGAAATGGGGGCATGCCTCTCACACAATTCACCTAAGGTGACTCTTTTTGGTAAAGTTCCTGAAAAAATATTAAGTACAAATGTGATAGCCTCCAACACAATGCTACTCAGCTGGAAAGCCATGCGCCTAGCAGAACTGGTCTCGAAAAAATTCCCCACTGATTTTTGGTCTGCACTTTTTTTCTGAGATGGCACATGAGCCTTTGTTCAAGGATTTCTTGGTGAAACATGGAAAGGTAGAAGTTCCTTGGGTATCACTGATGCGTATCCTAACTAATGGCTGACCAGACACAAGGAATGCCCTTGGGCAGAGACCTTGTAAAAATGTTATTCTCCTTTAACCCCTCCACGTAAATCAGCAGAGCACTTCCTTTTTCTGATTTAAACAAATTTGGTCTTTGACCTCTAGAGCCAGATCTCACCTCAACTCATTCAGATGGTTATAATATAAGCTGTTTGATGTATGTTAAGTATCATAAAACAAATAGTACTTCATGACAGATCATCAAATAATACATATATGTCCAAAATCAAGGTAGCAGTGTCTATATCCCAATGATGGCAGTATGAAATCCTGCAGATAATATGATGCTTCTGTGTGCCAAGATTTGGCATCTGGTACAGCTGTGCCTACTGATGCTGTTCACAGCACAGCACTGCACCACATATCAATATGCTCACTGTGAGAACTTCACAAGGCTGCCAATAAATACAAATGCTTAAAAGATTTCTCCTATGTGTGTAGCAATTTTTCTGGGTCTGTGATATGTCTATATTTTGCAACAAAACCAAGACAAATAGTTTATAAGCCAAGTGGTTGCTTAATGTAAACATCTAAGCCTGAATATCTGAAAGTCTCTAGAAAACCTGAGAAGTTGTGTATTCAGTTTTCCAGAGAAAACAAAATAAAATCCTAACAATATATTGAAGAAATTTAAGCAAAACACAATCATTGTAATTAAAGATAAGTACAGTACCAACATTTTTTCTTAGTTTCTGAAAATGTTAAAATACTAAACATCTTTTCTAGTAATCACACACACACACATACACACACACTCTCTCTCACTTCTATCTTTAAATTGAAATGGATTTCAACATCTCTGCTTTAGTAATGTTTAATGAACTGTAATACAGGGAGATATTGTAGCAAATATAGTATTAAACTATTTTGGTACTTAATAGTTCAAAAATTGTTTTATTTAATTGGGACCAACTGGCTTCATTGCATCTTATAAACTTTGCAATATATATTAAGAATAAAAGGAATAAAAATGAACAGATGTTTCTCCTTAAAGAAGGCAACTATGATTTTTCTTACACAATAAATCAGCAGCAAATACATTTCTAGGACATTGCTTGAGGCTGTTTTGGTATAAAATTTTTAGCACACACACATACACACACTCTCTCATACTTACCTCTGTGTGGATCCAAAATTGGTAGAGGAGATTGAATTGAATATGAACAGCAAACACTGAAGGTGGTATGAAAAGGGCCATGGGACAGTAGAAAACCTTTAAAAGAAAGAAACCACCTACATTACTTTATAATCATGTGTCCTCAACTATAATAATGTTCCTTCTTCAGCAAACATAATTTTCCATGTAATATATTTTGTGATATTAATTTTTCACATAGTGATAGGTTTGCAAATACTAGTCTTCTATTTGGCATTTAACACTTTTTAATTAAAATATCACATGCTCTGTGTTATTTCCTTTTAATATGTGTTTTCTGGAAGTAAAATGGCTGCTTATACTGCACAAATACTTTAATGAAGCAAAACTGTAAAGCACATGCCTTTGTACCTTGACCACTCCCAAATGCTCAGTTATTACCTGGTTTTTTTCAATAATAAAATGCAATTATTACAAAAGAGAGTGCATGACATATTGAAAGAATAGAAGGCTTTCCATTTTAATGTGTATATGATTGATTAAAAGTAAAATATCTCTTCATTTTTTATCCAAGTTATTGAGGCAGGAAGTGCAATGGGAGGACAGTGGAAATCGTTTCAGGGGTTAAGATTTTTCTTTTCTTTCTTTTTTTTATTGGATGTTTTATTTACATTTCATATGTTGTCCTCTTACCCCATCCCCCACCCACCCAGGAACCCCCTATCCCCTCACCCCTCCTCCTGCTTCTCTGCGGATGTAACCCCTACCTACCCCCCAACTCCCACCTCCCCACCCTCAAATTCTCATCCAATGGAGCGTCCAGCCTTCATGAGGTCAAGGATCTCTTCTTCCACCTATGCCCAGCAGGGCCCTCCACTCTTACATATACAGCTGAAGCCATGGATCCCTCCCTAAGTGCTCCCAGGCTGGTGGTTTAGACCCTGGGAGTTCTGCTTGATTGGTATTATTGCTCTCCTCATGGGGCCACAAAACCTTTCAGCTCCAGTGGTCTTCACTCTAACTCCTCCATTGGAAACCCCATGATCAGTTCAATGTCTAGTTGTGAGCATCTGCCTCTGAATATGTCAGACTCTTGCAGACCTCTGAGGAGACATCTATATCAGGCTCTTATCAGCATGCACTTCCTGACTTCCACATCATCATCTACCTTTGGTGACTGCACATGGGATGGATACCCAGGTAGAATGGTCTTCAGACGGCCCCTTCTTCAGTTTCTGTCCCTCACTTTGTCTCCATATTTGCTCCCTTGAGTATTTTGTTGCTCCTTCTAAGAAGGACTGAACCACCCCCACTTGGTCTTCCTTCTTCATGAGCTTCATGTGGCCTGTGATTTGAATCTTGGGCATTTCAAGGTTCTGAGCTAATATCCAATAATCAGTGAGTAAATACCATGTGTGTTCTTTTGTGATTGGCTTACCTCACTCAGGATGATAATTTCTAGTTCCATGCATTTACCTAGGAAACTCTCGATTTCATTGTTTTTAGTAGCTGAGTAATATTCAATTGTGTAAATGCACCACATTTTTTGAATCCATTCCTCAGTTGAAGGACATCTGGGTTCCTTCCAGCTCCTGGCTATTATAAATAAGGCTGCTATGAACATAGTTGAGCATATTACCTTGTTATATGTTCGAGCATCTTCTGGGTATATGCCTAGGAGTGGTATAGCTGGATCCTCAGGTAATGCCATGTCCAATTTTCTGAGGAACCGCCAGACTGATTTCCAAAGTGGTTGCACCATCTTGCTGTCCACCAACAATAGACGAGTGTTCCTCTTTCTCCATACCCTCGCCAGCATCTACTATCACCTGAGTTTTTAATCTTAGCCATTCTGACTGGTGTGAGATGGAATCTCAGGGTTGTTTGGATTTGCATTTCCCTGACAACTAAGGATACTGAACATTTCTTTAGGTGCTTCTCGGCCATTCAAGTTTCCTCAGTTGAAAATTCTTTGTTAAGTTGAAATTCATTTTTAATAGGGTAATTTGGTTGTCTGGAGTCTAATTTCTTGAGCTCTTTGTATATATTGGATATTAGCCCTCTATCAGATGTAGGATTGGTAAAGATCTTTTCCCAATTTGTTGGTTGTCATTTTGTCCTATTGACAGTGTCCTTTGCCTTACAGAAACTTTGCAATTTTATGAAGTCCCATTTGATCAATTCTTGATCTTAGAGCATATGCCATTGGTGTTCTGTTCAGGAACTTTTCCCCTGTGCCCAAGTATTCGAGGCTCTTCCCCACCTTCTCTTCTATTAGTTTCAGTGTATCTGATAGATTTTTTCTGAGGATGGAAATCTCCTTGCCCTGGAAAACCAGCTTTTCCTTAAACCTCAGAACTGCTTAGAATTAAATAACCAGTGTGATTTGTTGTGGTCTCCTAACAGCTTGTTCCTGTGACCAGTTTTATGTGGTCAAAACTGTTTCCTTGAAAAAAACAATCCAGAAGAACCAAATCAGTATCTGAAGAATCTCTCTTCTGCTTTACATTTCTGATCTTATTTAATCCATGTTTCTAAAAATGCTGCATATTTTTAAAACTTTTTCCTAGATGTTATAATTTGATTGCTGAATTATTATAAAGTCTTTGTCTTTATTCAGGCAAATAATCACTTGAAGGATATTTAGTAATTGGTGTGAACTGAAAATTAGACATTAATATCTTATTATATTCTGAATTTAAGTCAACTAAAATAAATGCTTTTATATTTTAGTGGCAAGCAGGATCCATTTTATGATATTTCAATAGATTTAGAAGCAATGGATCAAATTAGTAAACAATAAAAGAAAATAGGTTTTTTATTCAAGTGTTCAGCTTCCCAGTCATGGGCTCACCATAGACTACGTTATAAAAGTAAAAAAACAAAAGTTTTAGCTCACAGGGCTCCTCATATTTGTAAAGATCAAAATTGCTAGAAATATAGTTGTCCAGCTAGTTCCAAACATTCTATAGTAGTGTACAATATAATGTAGTATATTGCATAAAGCCTTAATAAAAAGAATGGGAAATGGCTTACGTTGGATATTCAATAAATAGCATTTTGTAAAGACACTGTCTGGCAGATTAGCATTCAATGTACTTTACATTCTCCAAAACTGTAGAGAAATAATGTTATGACAATGACAGCTGTTGTAGAAAGAGGGGTTCTATGGCTATTTTAAATATGTGCTTGTTCCAGAAAAGAACTTTTGCAATTTCTTCATGCTCATGTGAAACAAAGCCCATCAGTTTGTAGTGTTTTTTTTTTTTTGATGAGTTTTCCACAGGATTAGACCTCCTTTAAAAAGTGCCAGATGACTCTTACCATGAATTTTAATTCAGTTTTTCTCCTCTAGGCAACAATCTGAGCACCTGGTACACGCTAAGCACACACCCTGTCCTATGCTAGGTGTGGCAGTCTTGCTGTTTGTGACACTGTTTTTTTTTTGTTATTGTTGTTGTTGTTTGTTTGTTTTCCTATGTTGCTCAGGCTGATCTAGAAGTATTAATCTAACTACCATTACCTCAAAGTGCTGACATTTCAGCGATGTATTACTTTGCTAAGCTGAAACTCCTCATTTTTTTAATGAGATTTAAAAGGAAGCTTGGGTACTAATTTACATTAACAGAATAACAATTCTTTGTGATTAACACCAGGTTGCAAAGGAAACTAATTATACAAAAAAAGGTTCTAATCCTCTTGATTGCAAGTGAACCTGTAAATGTGGTCTAAGAATAAGAATCCTTTACTTCCTCTTCCTTCATGTCCTCCTCCGCTTTTATCTTTTATCTTTTTTCTGTTGTTGTGGCTGTTTTGCATATAAACCAAAGGACTAAACCCTATTCCTCAGTGGAGTGATGGACTTACACCTCCAGCTCACTTATCTTCCAGCTCTAAACTTGGAATCAGTTTAACTGCTTCTTCTACTATCAATCCTTAAATGTACTTAATGACTTGGAAAAAAAAATCCTCCTCTTCCTACTCTGTTAGTGCCTGGGACAGAGGGCAAAGTGCTTATTTACTAAATAACTAAGTTTCTTCCTAGCACTCACCCCAATGCTAATCTGACTCCAGGGTTTAAATAACACTGTTTACATTGGGTTGACTATTCTATGAGTTAATTAATGTACAATAGGACCATTATAGAACTATATGCATGAACAGCGAGGATAAGACAAAGTACAGTCTCAGTCCAGCAGAGATAATTCAGTGTAGTTTGTACTTCTGCAAGCCAGTAGCAGAACAGTAGTTGAGTATTGGCATCTTGAAGCAATAAACAAATGGTGTATGGGAGGATTATAAGTATTGTGACATTGTTGCACTTGTTGAAAGTAGTGCTGTTAAAAAAAAAAAAGAAAGATAGAAAAGAAAGTAGTACTGTAAAAGCCTAGACTGTGGAAGGCTTGGACAGATGTCAGAGAGACCAGGAAGCAAGAGACAGGAAGCAGATGTAACAGAGGAGTAAGATCTAGGAGGAGCATATATTTCCTAAAGAAATAATGAATCACTTCCAGTTATCAGTCTTTAATGTGTTTGTATCTTGGTATAGAAAAGAAATTAGATTGGATAAAGAAAAGAAAAAAATTGAGTGACTCAATGAGTGATGGGAGTAATTTAAAATCATTTTAAGTAGTTGTTGTAAAGCGATTTTAATCCAACAACTGTAGCTGCTCTGGAATGGGATCACATCTTCTAGGTCTGTATGAAATACATATACAACCTTAGTACACATCTTTAATCCCAAACAATGAAAGTAAGGTTGATTTGTAGAAGGAAGCAGCCATGCTTGAAGGTGACATCTAATTGAGGCACAGACAAATTGACAAATCATAGAAAAATTTGACAGAGATGGAGCACACCAAACTCTCAGGAGAACAGAAAGAGGCTACTAAGAGCAGCATAGGGAGAGTCAGGAGTGGAAAGCAGTTCAATGAGTGCAGTTCAGTTGAGCTCAGGCAATGTAGTGGAGTTCAGTCAGTTTAATTCAGTTCCATTCAGTTCACTTGAGTCAGTACAGTAGAGTTGAGTTCCTATGTGAGTTCAATACAGGTCAGCTGAGACAACTGAAGCCAGAGAATAAGAAGGAGCCAGAAGGTTAGAACAAATTGTCAGAGTTC